ACGTGAGTTTTATTCAACAACAACAGCAGCAAATACTTAATTTTGATTAATATGGTGGAAAAAACTGGTTAAATAAAATATTAATTAGAAATTGAAATTGAATTCGATTACAATTATTTTTGTTCTTTTTATTGGGGGTTTAAATTAATGTTTTTGAAATAATAAAAAAATAATTTGTAACAATAAATATTATTTTTACTACAATTTAAAATAAGTTGTAAATTATTTAATCAATATAATCAACAAGTTAACAAAATTTATAAGTTTAATTCAATTAAATATATTAAGGGGATTTAGCACAATGGTAGTGTATAACTTTTCAATAAAATTATCTGGTTTGGTAAAGACTGTAGGTTCGATTCATATAATCCCCATTTTTGACAACACAAAAATAAAAAACAATTAAAAATATTTTTTCATTTTCATTTTATATGTTATTAAACAATTATATCTACAAATAAAATTAATTTCAAAACACAAACAACTTTGATATCTAATATATTTAGATATGTATAAAATAATTAAATCCGGTATATTATAATTAACTACCCAATTATTATTCATTTTTTGTATTATTATGGTATTTGTTTGATTTATTAAATACAGTCAAAAACGTCTATTTGTCTTGAATCCAGCCGAAACGTTTTATTTGTCGTAAATGAGTAAATTTGTATTTATTTCTAAAAAATAAAACGGGTTTGTTTTGATTTTTTTTAAGAAAAAGAAGAATTGACATTTTTTATACTCAATAAAAAAATAAAAGAATAAAACAGCAAATTCGTTTATCATTGGTGTTATGGTTATTTTAAACGAATTATTCATTTAAAACAGTTTAAATAAAATGATAATATAACATTTAAAATATAACTCTTTTTATTATCTAATTAAAATAAATTGTTGTTAAATAATCAAACTATTGAAAATAGCAAATAAATTCTATTTTCGGAGAGGATGTGGAAGGTCAAAATATGCTAGGTTTTTGACAGGTCCATATATGTAAAAAATATGACAAAGTCAGTCTAAAAACATTATTCATTCGATAAACTTTATTTATATTTTTTGGTCTATTTTTAATGAAAATGTTACCAACCTATGGGATAAGATCAGAATAAATTATAATTAATATAACTATTCAGAAACTCAATAACCAATTACACAACCATTAACATAAATAAAGTTGAGATTATTCGACCTTTCATTTCCAAACATCCAAACGTGAATAAATACGGTTGATTTGGTGATATATTTGAACAAAATAATGGGAAGTTATTGCTAACAAACTTCCAGAAAAGTTTAAAAATCTTTTCAAAATCAATGAGTTGGAAAACTGGTTGTTGAAACTCTGTGATATTCTTTAACGTACACAACACCTCTTCTTTTTTTGATTTTCGTTGTTTTATATTTTCAGTTATAATTGTTTGAATCATTGTCATATTTAATTGTTTAATGTGTGTTCGTTAACGTGTTTTTGAATAAAACACTATTGTTTTTAGTTTTCTTATGGTACCAAATAAATTGTTATGTTTGTTGATGTAAAAATAGCATCGCTTCTTTGTTTTTAGAGTAAATTGTTAACATTCATATTTGTTATTTTTTGTTATATGTAAATTTTGAGTCGTTAAAAAACCAACCAACCATAATCAATAATAAGTTAAACAAAAATAAATACTGTTTCTGGACAGGCTTTATTTTTATAATCGTCATTTAAAAATCAAAACAAACAACATTGTTCTGAATTTATTAAAAAAAACTTTAAAAAATTAACAATGTCAACACTTGACAATTATCACATTATGATTGTATCAAAGTATTTTGCAAATATTGAAGAATTATTAATATAGAATTTATTTGTAAAAGTTTTATGGAAAGTTTGTTCTTAGCTTAATACAATTAACTCATAAAATTATAAAAAAATTCCAAATATTGAAACACCCCACTTATGGTATAAAAAGGAATAAAAATTTATTGATAATTATTTGTTGACTTTCAAAAGAATAAAAATTATGAAATTATAAACAAATAAAAACACAAAACAAAGATTATTACTTTTTATCAAGTTAAAGTGTGGTTCAATGTTGATTATGGTTCAGTATATTAAAACAAAAATCAAAATTTATTTTTAAAATTGTGACATACACACATTTTGACAAAGAAAAATTCAGTATTGATATACTCGATTGTGTCATATCACTTGATAATAACTGTTAATGTTAATGTCACGATTTGATCAGTTTAGAAATACCAGCAAATACCACTTCGATTGGAAAATTATGCTAATTCAAATGTACAAGTTTGAGTCGTGCAAATACAATTTTTATAAAATCAACGTGTAGTTGTTGTTTCGATGATTATTTAAGTCTAAGAAGTGTAAATTTACCTTCAAATGTCATATAGATAAACATTGTTGCTTTTTTCATGTTGTCGTTTGACGAATAAATTGAAATTATTTTACTGTATTTATTGTTATGGTCAATTTTTTTTTAATAACTAAACATTGTATATTGTACTTTTTATCCAATTTTCTTATAATATATGTACTTATAAACAAAAAAGTGTTATATTTTTTTCATGCATCTGTTTTATTTAACATTATATTTAAAATTATTTGACTTACAAGACTCAAATTCTAAAGTGAACTTTTCAAACCACTTTATTATTATTGTTATGTGTTTTTTCAAAAATTTTACATCTGAATTTAATATTTATAATAATATTTTTAAATTCAAGTCAAGAACTTTGTAATACTAATTTGTATATTATAAATTATACATCTCTACCACTTCGATAATTTTTCTTTTTGTAATTGCACACTTTACTGTTCAATTTTCTTCGTAGTATAATTATAATAAAACAATTATATGTATTTATTAAACAAAACAAAAAAACACAAACAAATTTTATTAAAACTATTACTCTAATTAAAATATCATAAATAAACTATAACTAAAGTTGCACGATCTTCTCAATTAGTAT